TGCACTATTATTGAAAATCATGTAATTGGGGCAGTACCTGCAGTGAACCTTAGAGTGGTAAGTAGGAGCAAAGCCGGTGCTGGGCCCGGGTGGGAGGCAGAGGGGCTGGGGGACCTGCCGGGCGGCCAGCACTGTCCCCTGGGCCTTCGCCGAGGATTACCAAATGGAAATGACATCACCCGCAGCCAATCGGGGGGCCCCGGGGGTACAGCTGGATGGAAGCCATATTCCACTTAAGTAACAAGACATGACATACCATGTGCTAATGCTAAATAATTTATCCCTCAGGCATATAGTGAATTGCAAAGCCAAGCTGAGGCCTGGTCAACAGTTTGTAGTTTAAATTAAAACTGGCTTTTCCATCTTAAAGGGAGGGACGGGGTTGTCAACTGTTGTGATCAAAAGTGGAATGCAGAAATCTGTTTTTTTTCCCTGCTCCTCTCCTCTCCTCTCCTCTCCTCTCCTCTCCTCTCCTCTCCTCTCCTCCTTTTAGTGATTTTGGGGATGTACTCCACATACCTCTATTAACATGCAGGAGAATCTTAGAGCAAGTTTTAAGTCACTGTGAATAATGATATTCAATATATCCTTGAAACTTGGGCATTAGCACCTGCAATCTAAACTGAAGCTATTCCAAAATTTAGTCATATGTGTATTCGTGTTGCAAATGTTACATGGGCGTTTCCATAGCAGAGTCATAAATATTTCTCATTAGGAATCCAGAGGCATTTGCTTCTGCTTAGGCTGAAGATAACGCCGAGTCCGGCTCTCTGCTGGGTAGTTTGGGCTAGCAGTACACAGAGGCTGGATATGATGTTAACCGCAGCATTTTGTTGCCTGCTGTTGGCTACTGGATCTCACAGCGTAGCCTTCCCAACTCAGTGGTCCAGCCAAGCTTGGCCAAACCTTTGACATATTTTGTTAAAATATAGTGCTGTTCTTACTTAAGAGCTGGGTGCCACAGCATGCTAAACAGCACTTCCACTGAAACCAAGAGAAATTGAACGTGGCCAGCACCTTCCATAATCTATCCTTATGTAGCACTTTACAAAAATGGTGGCTCAAATATTCTTCAATCTTCCAGCATACTATTGATCAAGAAATGAACAGTTAAAATATACACTGTGTTGGTGGGAAGGAGATAGGAATTGCTTTTAAGGTATTTTAGGATAAGAAATTAAAAGGACCTCTGGCCTATGGAATAAGTGAGAATATATTTACCTAGTCTCCACATGTTTGGCTAGTTAAAACCTGGAGGACATGAAGTGGTACAGAGTTAAAAGGAGCATGTGGAAAAAAATACAAAACAAATTGGTAGTGTCTCTGAAAGGTCTTCAGGGAATTCAGCTTTATTGCCACAATAGTACACTTTCCAGTATGCAATTACTTGTTGTCATGGAAAGGGATTTTGAAGATTTCTCTTATTTTGGATGCTGCAAAGGATGCTTAATTTAAGTAAGAGGTTGCCTGTGATTTTTCCTTTCCATATTTGTTTACTTATCTAGGTTCTTGTATGATTGTCAGGCCGGTATCCAAGTTCCCCTTAGATAACAAAAAGAGAAAAAAAAAAAGCCACTGAAAAAA